TGATGATGATGATGATGATGACGATCATGATGATGATGATGATGATGATGATGATGATGATGATGATGATGATGCTGAGGATGATGATGGTGAGGATGATGATGATGATGGTGGTGTTGATTATATTTATGATAATACTGAGGTTGATGATGATGATGATGATGATGATGATGATGATGATGCTGAAAGTTCATTTTGATGGTAATGTCAAACTTTCAGCAAATGTTCACATCCAACTGACTGCCTCAACACCATTTGAAAACAAATACTTATCCTTATATTTCGGATGTAACAGGGAAGTTTGGTTAATTATGCTGTAAGATGCCAACGCACACGAGCTGTCAATTCTGAAAAAAAATACTGTTCTAGTTACTTACCACAAAATCCTGGGGAAGCATGATAGGATATAGAAGCGTCGAATATGGATGTAGAATTTCAGTTATGTTCTCTGCCGTCACAATTGCTTAAATTAGAAAAAAAGGAAACGTATTACAATTATAAATTAAGGTTTAAGGCTTCATCTTGAGAACAAATATTTTACATTTAGCTTGCAATACCACATTCAATAAAGACATGAAAAGAACAACATGAATAGTCTTATTATTCATATTGATCCTTTACGGAAATCAAAACACCATGAAATAAACTAATAAAAATTTGCTCCCTACCTTTTAACGTTACTTCAATTGAATAGCGTTCTTCAATGGAAATGACCTCATTTACATATTACTCTCCATCGCCCCTAAGCCTAGCTTTAAATTAGGTATATGCTATGGTAAATGAACGCGGCCGTTTTAGCATAAAAAATGAAGCTGCGTCAAATGCTATGAAGGAAAATAATGTGCACAGGCTATCGTATCGTCGATCCATATCCTAAGCCTATATCCGACCTGAATCCTACCCAAAATCCTGCTCGCATTCCTGATGCAACAATAAACTTAATGCATAACCTGAAAGAAACAGCAACCGCTTTCATTAAGCAGCACGCCCAAACGGACCACTATTGCTTACTCTAAGCATCACTGCCCCGGTGCCTGCTTGATAATGTCGTGAGGGGAGCATGTTGCAACGGATCTAATCCTATAAGATACTCAACCGCATGTCAGCAGTTTTGTTGGGTTTAATAGACTTCCAACAAATACTAGTTTTTGCTAGAAAGATTCAAAGCAGGCAGATTTATCTAACACTTCTTCAAATAATGTGTCTTCCTAAATCCAACCATATTTATACATTTGACACCACAATACGTAAATGTTGATAGTATATACTCTTACTGAAAAAGTAACAGTAAAAGTAAGTGAAAAATACGTAAAATGACTTACCCAGGAACAGCAGAGTAACAGGAGCAGACGTCATGTTGACTTTAGTTCAGAAAAGATTATTATCTGTAGAGTAAAAGTATGCCTTAGTAAAATCTTAAGCGGAAGCATTGATAAACAAAGTGTAAACGAAAGTGCATCGGGATAACGCGGCGCCTATAAAAGAACGTACGAAAACACATAATAACCTGGACAAATATAAGAGGCAAAATGTGTCCTTCTCGCGTTTTATATCAGACGGTTTAAACAAAACTTAGATGCAGCTGAAATACTTAATACCGTGCAGTCCTATAAGCAACCGTTTACTCACAGAAGAGTGCAGTTGTAAGGTCAGTTATTTTATGTCTGATTGAAAGTACAACTATCGCACAACAAGCACAGCTCAATTACGATTAAATTGCACCCTGATATTCAAAACCGTCATAAATGCAAATATTACTTACAAAATGCATCAGCGATCGGTGAACATTAATCGGCGAGTCTCAATATCTGCGTACCTAAGTCCACCACCGAGCC